TTATCTGTGTGGAATATGGCTAATCAGGTATGCTTTAGAATTGAGATTTAACCTTCTACAATAGAATGAGACCAGTGTTCTAGAACAAGTAATTCTAGGAAAGGCAGTAGGAAATAGATGCCCGCCTCTTGAATTTATGTTCTGTATTTATTGTCTGATGTGTTCACATTACCTTCATTATAGAGAAAGTTGCCATTTCTTGGTGTCCATTTCACTGCCTGCTTGCTTTCCCTATTAATACAATATTCTTGATTGGAACGTGATTTCATGGTTTTTTCTTTCCTTAGTTAATACTTATTGCTGAGGTAGGAGAATTTAAGGTAATAAGAGACCCTAGCTATCACTCATTAAAAGCTATTTCTGTGACATTATGTTAGGTACTTTACTATGTTATTTCTAATTCTCACAATGTTTTAAAGTAGTTATCATTATTCTCTTTTACTAATGAGAAAAATGAGACTCAAGGCTATCAAGTTACAGAATTAGACCTGCCTTGAAGCTCATATAGCTTTTTTTCCAGTAACTTTTCCATGGAGGGCAATGAGAAGTGCTCATACCATTAGATTGAACAGTTGTTTCATAGGCCTTCTGTTTCCTTTCTTTTCCTGGAATTGAACCCAGGGCTTTCACATTTAATGACATCCTTAGCTCTGTTTTGTTGTTGTTGTTGTTGTTGTTGTTGTGGTTTTCACTTTTAAAAAGGATCTCCCTGAGTTACTACATTGCCCAGATGGGGTTTGAATTTTTGTTCTTCCTGTCTTAGTCTCCCAGGGTGCTGGGATTATAGGTGTGTACCACAACACTCATCTCTTCTTCTTTCTTTTAAAATTTTTTTCTATAATATGAAAGGTTAATTTCATCCTATCATTGTGGCAGACATGTGGCTCAGGAAAACAACTCCGTAGTGCTCTTTTCCTCTACTTTCCCTCTTTTATTGGTTAGTCCTTGACCCTGAAGAAGGACCAGTTAAAAGGAGAAGCCATCTTATTTCTTCATGAAATCTAGTGATTGGTCACCTCGTGGTTCCTGCCTAAGACATTTGGAGAGGGATGAGCCAAGTCCTTTTGCTTTTGAATAATGCCTCGTGTTCTCATATAATTAATAAGATGAGGAATTTAGCCTCCAAGAACACAGGGTGAGAAATTTTTATTTGGGTTGGCTTACCCGTAGGGAGGACTATTGTTGCATTTACTTTTTTCTCATTGGTCAATCTTATAAGAGATATTGACTAGGAATCTGGAAAGTCAATATATACACTATTAGTTGTTAAAGTTGAGAAGATCAGTTTATTAGTATAAGTGGTTTCATTTGCAGATGCTATTAACTAGCATGACTTTTGTCATTATGGTTTTTTTGTTTGTTTTGTTTTGTTTTTTGGTACCAGGGATTGAACTCGGGACCTTGCACTTGCAAGACAGGCAGAGGAACCATTGAGCTAAATCCCTGGTGTGACTTTTGTTAAGTAATATTTACTCTTACCATTCTCTCCCTTTTTGTTTGTGTTTATTTTCTTCTTAAAGTTGATGTAAGGAAAGTGAATTTGAGTGGTTCTTTGTCAGAATTTCTCCCGGGCAGATGATCGTGGCACACTTCTGAGAGAAGCTAGAGGGTTACACACAAGCAGTGGTTAAGCAGTTGTTAAGCAGTTGTTTTGTTTACCTGAAGCAGTGCATTTAATTAGACATTGTTCATATCTCTTCAGGTGCCATCTTAGCAGTTCCCACAACTGCACACCAAACCCTATTTGTAGGCGATTATGGGAGAAAAATTATTTTGGATTTTCTTCTTAAAATGGAGGAAGGTTGAGAATTAAAAATTAAATAAATACATAGTAGAAACACATTTGCCTTTAATAAAATGTTAAAACCTTAATCTTACAGTATCTCTATAGCTATTTACAGACTTTTAAATTCTTATTAAATATCATTGCTGGGGATGGCAAATGAGAGACCTGGTTGCTAGCTCTGTTAACATAGAGTAGAGTGTAGTGGGTGGATAAAGGAGATATATTAATTGTACATATAAAATGGCAGATAATAAGTGCTAGGAAGAAACAATGAGTCATTATGAGAGTGCTAGTAATACAGTAGACCCCCAGTAATGTAAGTATCCAGGGAATGAGAGCAAGATGAGCTAGGAAAAGCATCCTTTAGGAACTGACATTGCATGAATACCTGCAAAGTAAACAAGAATAAGCTAGGCCAAGAGCTGAAGTTCGAGAATTCCATGCACTGGGCATATCAAATTGGAGTTTCCAGGGGCCTGGGATTTAGCTCAGTGGCAGTGCACCTGCCCTACAAATCCAAGGTCCTGAGTTGGATCTCTGATACCAGGGAAAAAAATAATTGGAGTTTCCTGAAATAGGAGAAGGTTCTAAGAGCTTTCAAGGACTGAGCAGTATGAATGAGGGAGAAGTGATAAGAGATAAAGTACAAGATAGGCAGAAACACATGTGCACTCTGAAGCTATTGAAAGGTCTTATGGAATAGGTTGGTGCAAATAGTCAGCTCGAAAGGGTCCTGAGAAAATTTATATTGTTCTCTATTTTAAAAATGAAAGCTTCCTGGGCTTTTAAATTTTAACAGTTGGTCTTCTATAAAAATTGTTAATTACTTTCAGAAGGAAATGCCCCTTTTCCAGAAGCTTTAATCCTAGCAGCTAGAAAGGAAAACTTCCTCATTAATAAGAGCAGCTACACCATTTCTCCTACCTTTTGGTAAAAACTTTGGTGGGGAGGGTGGGTATTTTGTCAGTAGTGGTGTTAAAATGAGTCTGTCCACTTCAGTGGTTCTCACATGTTAGCATGCATGGTACACAATCTTTCTGAGAGGCTTATTAGACATGGACTACTGGGCCTAAAGCCTGGCGTTTCTCATTCAGTGTGATTGGGTATGATTGAACAACCCACTAGCTGCTGCTGGTGCTGCTAGTTTGGGGTCCACATTTCCTAACCACTGATATATTATCAGTGATATATATCGCTGATATATTTTATATATGTAATACTCTATGGCCATTTGGATTCATTTCCAAGACATTCAGCTGAGGTATGGAGAATTATCTAGGCTAGTGGGCTTTATACTTGATCTAAGCCAAAAGGCCGAAAAGCGATAGACTAGTGGGCTTTAATGCCCTTTAAACTCACAATTGCTTTGCCAACAGTGACAACATGATGCTCTTTGCAAAGGACTATTTTTGTGAATGGAACTATAAATAAATAAAATAGAATGAGTTGATTTAATTGAGGCCTGGAACAAGACTATGGGCTAAATGAGGTAAATGGAATGAGACATCCTAAATAAATAAAAATGAAGCAGAGCTTCACTGGTTGGAGTAGAGGAAATGGTGAATGTGAGTTGAAAGTGCTGAATTATTTGTACTGTGTCCAAATGTGGATCTTGGAAAACCCCTTGGGCAAGTTGGAATACTATTTATAAGTCCTTGCTTTAATCTTTGAACAGAATAATACTCATTGCTTCAAACAGAGATTGATCTGTTGGCCTAGAAAGAACCATGTTCCTTCTAATATTTATACTTGACTTACAAACTTTGAGTGCTTACTACCATATAGCATTATTCCAGGAATAAAGAAGGGAGGTAAAGGTATTGAGGTCTGGGACCTGACATGAAGATCTTTGACTACTATTGGATAGATAATGACACAACTAAAGCATGCAGATATTTTGAATCAGTGTGAGAATGAGTAGTAAAAGCAGTGATGGTTCAGGAACAGGAATAATCACATTGAGGAAGGGTAGCTACAGAAAACGTTGGACTAGATTTTTAGTGACTAAGAACATGAAATGCCCCAGTTAATGGTGAAAAGGATCTTTCATTATGCTTTTATATTCTTCATTCCACTATGACCTCTTTCTTTTATGTATGGGGCTGAATAAAAAGTAGATTTGTTTTTACATCAAAGATTTTCCAAAAACTGAAATTTGAGGTATTAATACATTACAAAGGAGACTTAATGACCCAGCTGTACTTTCTTTCTTTTTTTTGGTACCGGGGATCGAACTCAGGTCCTTGTGCTTGCAAGACAGACGGCGGAACTGCTGAGTTAAATCCCCGGCCCTGTACTTTCTTTCAATTTATGGTTCATAATTTATTCTATTAAAACAAATTTTGATAAGTATGTAGTGTGTGCCAATGACTGAGCTATATATCTTGTTTTTTATATATAGTAACAAAGTAGTCATAATTTGTGACTTATAGGATTTAGAGATTAAAAAGGAAGATAATAATCAAAATTAATTGGGAAAATAATTAAAATACCTTTATCATAGTTGCTAAGAAAATAATGTGAGAAGGTACTCAGTGTTTCTCTTAGTTTTGATTCTTCTTAATGAAAGTATTGATGTATTGGTAAGGACTTACATTTCTGTTACAGAGACTCTCAGGTCCTATAACAGGATATTAATTTCTTTAATAGGGAATATTGCTGTTCTTGATACTACTAAAAAGAATTAATTGGTAACACCTTTACTGAATGTATGTAGAGTTGCTCTGCAAAGTTTATGAGCTTTACAGTCATAGTTTTAAATCATAGTCTGACATTTTTCATTGTCCTAATTTCAAACCTTTTCTCCTTTCATACAATACTACTATGTCCTAATTTCTTATGTGTGAGATAAATTGGTAAAATGAGTATCAGCTACTTAGCATCTAGTAGATGTTTAGTGAAAGATAGCTGTAGTTACTATTATTATTATTATTATTATTATTATTATTAATTATTAATTGGAGTAGTATTTTTTTCCTTCAGAGCAGCATTGATCAGGAGGTCCTAGTGTGCCAGGGCATGAGTTGGTAGTGGAAGGGGAAGAGGAATTTGCCACTAAATTAGAAAGAAAGTAAAGAAAAAGAACCCTGGAGACTCTAGAAGACAAGTTTGACCAGTTTGTTCATGTGAATGGATACAGTTTATGACTATTCTTTTTTCCCTGATTCATATGGAAGAACCTTAACAATGTGAACATGATTTGCTTTTGGAGCAGGTGCGGAAGTCTACTTCAGACGCTGTGTTACTCAGATCAACCTGAGAAATGGCAAGTGGGAAGTCTTCAAGGAAACTGGCTCCACTGAGCTGTTTGACCTTGTTGTCCTCACGATGCCAATTCCTCGGATTCTGCAGCTTCAAGGGCACTTTGTGAACTGTGAGTCTGCTTTTTGGTATACCTACCTAAATGAGTGAGATTTCTTTCGTAGAATATGAATTTTATTTAATTCTTGTAACAAAGGATATATTTCATTTATTGGTACCTCTTAAAAACCTCTTCTAGCACAGTGGATGATACTAGTCTTGGCCAAAGTGAAGCCCATTGAAATCTTTAACCCGTTAGAAGTTCATCTTTTCTCTTACTGCCTTTGCCTTCAAGAAGTCAGTATTGTTCATTGAAGTGCAGTGGTGTGACCTAAAATGAGAGCGATCTTTTTGTGACCATCCTAAAAAACAAAAGGTTTCTATGGTACGAGTTCTTACTTGGGTTCCCTCAATTCAAATAGCTTTATTCTCTGGGTGGCCTTCCAGGTATTTACTTTGCTTCAGGAAATTGCCTAGCCACATTTTGAAAAAGAGATACAAGGGAAGGAATGGGGCGATTGTTTAGTAAATTATTCCGGAGGAGCTAAAATTGTTGTAAAACCGCCAAAATTCTAATAAAGGAACTAAAATTCAAAGGAAATTCCTTTGTCTGAATAAGAAAAAAAAGGGAACATATTTCATGTTAAAAATAACAGGTTTTAGCTTAAGGAGTAATGCAACAGGCTGATGATAAGTCAAATACATCTTACTGAGCAAGTCTGGTACTGATTGATACAGGAAATGATATTGGAGATGGAAGATGAAATATTATATCTCCCAACCTGTTAGCTGTCCAGTAAACTGAGTTCATGTTCTCTAAAAATCGAAAAATGAATTCTAGGAGCAACAGAGGTTAAGAGTAGGAAGATATTTATTGATAAGATAGCTCCTGAGAGGCAGAGGGACTCGAATGAGTGGTTGGGGATCCCACTCTATAGGGGATTAAAACCCACATGGGCACAATGTGGGCCACAGCCATGATCAACTGATAAGGCTACAAGTACAGTCACCTAGGTAATAGTGGGCCAGTTAGGAAACGAGTCACGTAAGTGTTGGTGGAAAGAACAAAGACATCTAGGAAACGATGGACCTAGAGGTCTCTGGTCAGCCCCAAGGTGACCGGTGTCTATCTAGACTTCATTAGGCCCAGTGTTTGTCCTTTGAGGAAGCATACAGGTCTGGTCATCTTGTCTTTCTCTTGAGGCCTGGTCTCCAACACATGTGTTTCCAGCCACAGTTGTGATTGTTTCACGTTTGTCCTGACTCTCTTTTTTTTGTTGTTGTTGTTGTTTTTGTTTTAAATATGTGTGCTTTATTTTCTCTGCAAACAAATAAATCACTATAAACACACACAGTTAAAATGCACATATGCACAATATGTCTGTATCTACTCACATAGATGTAAGTATGGAAAAGAGCTGAACTGAAGTGAACTGTCCGGACTCTCTTGAGGGCTTAGCCCTATCTGACTGCCTATAATATTTCTACCTAGCTCAGCTGACTATAATAGTATCATGAATTTACAATACTTCTGGAGAGAAACTGTTAAACTATTATAGAGAATATTTTAAAGAAAGCATAATTTTTGTTTTGTCAACTGGAGAAATTTTGATTTATGTAACTGAGGAACCTTTTTTTTTTGTTTTATCAAACTGAGAAATGACAAATAGGAAGTCTTTAAAGAACCAGGTTCTTCCTGTTTCCTAGGGATATAGTGATATTTTCAAATATCACTGGATTGGGGCAAAGTAAAGGACTATAAGTCTCAGTTGCTCCCAAAGAAACCTGAATTTGTGAAAAAAGAAGATAAATAAATTAGGATGCAATGAGCTTATCATCAAGTACAGTTTCTGGATATCATCTAAGTCTGACTTTGCCATCTGCCTTCTCAAAAGACCAATCAATCTTAGTTTCATTCCAACAAAGAAACAAACTGATACTGCTCTTTGTTTTAAAAAAAGTCATACATAATGAATTAACTCTTCTAAGTTTCAGGTATCTGTGTATTTTAGGCTGGTGAAATTATTGTTATATGTGGTGATAAGTAATAACAAGTTACCGTCAAATTTAATTTCATAAGCATACTCTGTAGTGGCACCAATAGCTTTGTTAGTTCTTGGTATTCTTAATCACCTACTCGTGAATGTTACTGAGCACAGAGAATTTTATTATGTGCATTTAATATGCTAATTAGAATTTGCAAATTAAGGCAGGGTATTTTTTAAAAGCTGCCCTCTAGTTGTACTATATCTGGAGGCTTATGTTTTTATTGTACATATAGTTCATAGGTTTTCAAAGTATTTTAAAATGAGATATTTTTATTTGACAATGCTTTATTTTATGAAAATCGAGCTAACAGAAAACTGTTTAAATGGTGGCTATTACTAGGTTGAGCTATATAAAATTGTCATTTTGTAGGTAAAAAATGGTCGGATTTTGGCTATTTCGTGTGCATCAACTAAATATTATATATAGCTATTGAGGTTGAGAAAAATGAGCAGAACCAATAATTAGTAATGTACATTTGAAGATTTTATTTAGGATTATAAAAAGTACTTTGACATGTACTCATTTCATGTTATTTCTAATTACAGAGCTTTTCAAAATGTTTCATAAAGTATTGACATGAATTTAATATCCCAGTCATTTGTTTTTAATCATCTGAATTGGTGTTATTTTTAACTTTCCTAAGTCTTTAAAGGTTGCATTTGGTTTAATATTATTCAGTTTATTGTTAGGCTTTGTTTATTTTCTTTTTAAATATAAAATATATGGTGAGATAGGGGAGTCTAATTTCTTACCTCTTTCCAGAACAGATTTAAATCTATAAGCAACTGCTTTAGAAATTCCCTTTACATGCAATTGCTTTTCCTAGCTAACAACTGTTACCCAGTTTTGAGGGTGGAAGTGGTGAGTAATCAGACACCTGTGACTTTCTCCACTATTAAATAGGGGAGGGTTTCTGGTGAACTATCTCCTGAAACTCCTAAATTTACAAATATCTCTTTCCTGCCACTGACTCAACACAGGTGAGATGCTAGCAGCAGCAAGCTTCGACTTCTGTCGTAAGAGATGCTGGCCATAGAGGAAGAGAACACCCTAGGACATAACTAGAAGTTATGATTTACACATGAGTGATGGAAATCCTTGTGTGTATTTTCAGTTAACTGCAGGATAGGACGGTATCAAGAAAATGCATGTGTAGGGAGTCTGTGAGCTGAAATTCCTGTACTAAGTGATGGGAAGGGGATTCAGAGATGAGAAACAAAGAGAATGGAGGTATTTACGGAAAGGAGGATACATTAGGTACAATTGCTCAGCAGTCATTAGACAGTTTTCTTTGCTGATACTGAAATTCTAGCTGACAGTGTTCCTTTTAATCATAGAAAACTCAGAATTGGAGTGGGCCTTAGAGAACATTTGGTCTCGTCATGTAGCCCTTGTATGAGTTTTTGTAAAAACAGTCACAATTTTGAGGTGTATGGACGTATGAGAAGACGTACGTATTTAATGTATACTGCTTGATGTGTAGAGGTGTGACCAAAATATATGATTAATGTTTACATGTACAAATGTATTACAATAAAAGACACATTGCTATAATCCCCCTCAGAACTCTCACTTCAACCACACTTGTCCCATTTTTCCTGACACTCTCTGAAGCAGCTCTGGAAGTCCTCTCTCCTGAGTGTCTGTATGACACGTGATTACAAAAAAAAAATACAGTGAGTGCTGCTGGTCCATGTCATCCAGTGAAAGGCAGGCTCTTGGCTAAGGCTCCTGTTTCCCCCTCCCAGACTTCTGTAAGGAAAGCTGTAAACAAATTATTATTTATTTTTAACCTGTAAATATCAATTATGGATTCTATATGAGGAATTAGGTAATGTCAGTCTTTCTATATATTCTGCAGAACTTTAAATACTTCTCATTTGATTTTAGGCCTCCTAAAGCGACAATGAAAAATCTCTACTTAAAAAGCTACATATTGCCATCTAGTGGGTCAAATGTATATTACAGTTCTCTTTAGAATCTTTAGCACTGTGGAGATGACTGGAACATAAACACTATGACTAATATAATTTACAAAACTAGATATCACAGGGACACAGATTTTGGCCCTTGAGAACTTACTTATCCAAAAGTGTATAGTTACTAATAGAAGTAAGGATAGGTGACAGGTCACACATTTATATAAACTGTGAATGGTCCTGTATCTTTGGTTTTCTTTGTTTTCTTATTTTCTTTTTCTTGAATCATGTCGAGCCTTTAAAGTCAGCGCGAATAGTATCTCTTACTTGAAAGAATTGCCTTTTGATTATAGCGTGGTTTGAATTTTCTCTTACCTAACTTTTTATGTTTTTTTTTTTAACAGAATAATAGAAGTACACATTTTTTTGTTTGGGAAATTATTTACCATACTATTACATTCTCCCAGCTGGAGGAGTAGGGAAGCTTCATGTACCATATAGTGAACCTCTTACGATTTAACTCTGGTTCTGTTGTTGTATTACTTTTTCTGTATTAACATTGCCATGATTATATCATTCCATCTTCAAAGCAATCCTAGGCATTATTATCACCTCGTCTTTTTGCTCACATTGAGATGTGAACCTAAGTAGCGTGGCTCCAGAACCTCTATTTGTGGCTGATGTTATACACAGCTCTCCAACAGGTGCTTTGTCCCAGGCCAGTGGTCGTGAACCTATGACACACATGCTATAGTGGGTACACAGAGCCCTCTCTGCTGGCACCTGAGCTATGTCGCCCCTGCCAAGGTTTAACAAATTATCAGCATGCATACAACAGCAAAGATCATATTATTTGTACAAAAGCAGTCCACATGCCAACTTTTACCTTGAGATAAAAAGCTGTATCATTGAAAGTTCTGTTACCTTATTTTTCTTCTAAAACAAAAGATGTTAATGTATGATTTGGTTTTTTTTTCCTAAATTAAAACATCAGTATTCGGTTTTAATTGCAGCATTGGTGCTTTGTGATAAATAAGTGTGTTTTGAATTGCAGTTTGGGCACAGAGTTTCTAAGAGGTTCGCCATCACTGCCTTAGACTTTCCT